ATTCAACCTATCTCTTTGGACTGAAGAAAAATTGGTGCAGAGTGGCAGTGGGAGGTAGGTCTGTCCTGTTTGGACATCAACCCATCTCTTAAACCCGATTATTCCCGTTTTTTTTAATGTCAGTCCCAAACGTTGTTTGATCCTCTTTGCCTTGCTTTTAAACTGGATAGGTTTCCCCAGATTTGAAGAAACCGAAGTGAGCACTCAGTGTGCTAAGATTTTATTTCTTTATCAAGGCTCCATCAACCAAGAGGGCTGTGTTTAGTTTTTCTTTAACAGGATATTTGTAAATCTTCTTGTTTTGATGATACTTACCTCTAGAAGAAAGCTGACTGGAGCCGTTTCAAAACTGGATTGTCTTGGTGATGATTGGATTAGTCTGCTGCAATGTAGATGGAAGCAACAGTTCATCGACTTTTTCCATGGATTTGCAGGTGACATATTATTTTGGAAATGATGAATATGTATTCTAACTCTTTTCTTACTTGCAGGTTTCATTAGCTTTTACATCAGCTAGCATTGTCTGGCAATATCATTCACACATAGTTCGTAATGGAGGGAGTACATTTCAACCATTTCGTTGAGCAACCCCAGAAGAATGACCGTGAGAAGAGTGAGATGCTCAGCCCTCATTCAGGAAATGAAGAAACTGAGTCGTTGATTCTCGAAATGGAGGCGGCAGAGTCATTAGTAAAAGAAGTCTGTGACAGAGGACTAATGGAGCATGGGTAATTGTTTTCTTCCTGATTGAATATCCCCTGAGTTGAACAACTTTTTGATTAATTTCTCCCAATGTTCTTGCAGATGTCCACATTACAGAAGAAGGTGTTGCATTAGAGCTCCTTGCTGTAATGAGATCTTTGGTTGCCATCACTGTCATAATGAGGCGAAGGTAGAGTATCTCATTCTAAGTTATAGACTTCAGGAAACTGCCTTTTTTCACTCTTGTTTTTCTCAAAGATTTGTGTACTGACTTGTGTGTAATCATATCTTGGAAGCAGAACTATATAAGTGTAGATCCGAAACAGAGTCATGATATTCCTCGCCAGAAAGTTGAACAGGTAAAGTAGTTTTGTAATACCTTGTTTGCTCTATCTTAATTCTTTTATGTTTGATTTCAGACAACAAAATCTCTATTTTTCTTCTTCACAGGTTATATGCTTACTCTGTGGCACTGAACAAGAGGTGTGGAACTCTTTGCTTTTATTAATGAGAAATACATTCAGGAAAGAAGTTATCAAAGATTTTTAAACGTATTGCAGAATTAACTCATGTTTTCCCTGCCCTTCACCAGGTTCGCCAAAATTGTATCAACTGCGGAGTGTGTATGGGGAAGTACTTCTGTGAAGCCTGCAAGCTCTTCGATGATGATGTAAGTTTCCTGATCTGGATTTATTCCTAAGCTTGATTGTTTATCCATTAATCATTATCTATCTATCTTTATGCTATAGACTATGCCTTAAGATCTCCCAGGCTTGTTTATTACTGCTGGTTAACCACTGTGTTGCTATCTTGTTTCCAGACATCTAAGAAACAGTATCACTGCGATGGCTGCGGAATCTGCAGGTCCATTCTTGAACTCCTCTTTAACATAAACCACTATTGTTAACCCACTATACATTTGTTCATAACTAAAATTACTTCTTTTTTTACAGAATCGGTGGACATGAAAATTTCTTTCACTGTTACAAGTGTGGTAAGCCATCTGATAACCTCAAACTTTTCAGGCTGGACACTACTATATAATTTGACTTGTACAATCTAAACTATTAAACCAGGCTGTTGTTACTCAATCCTTCTCAAGAACAGTCACCCTTGTGTTGAAGGAGCAATGCATCACGACTGCCCCATTTGCTTTGAGGTAAACTTCTTTCGTTCTCTTTCCACTACACCACGTTAAAATTGAACATTCCTTGTTAACAAAACTGTAATGGTGGTTTCCTTGTAGTACCTGTTTGAATCAAGGAACGATGTAACAGTTTTGCCTTGCGGACACACCATCCATCAGAAGTGCTTGGAGGAAATGAGAGAACATTACCAGTAAGTATAATAAGTAACTCAACTGTAGATATCTTTCAGCTGACAACACTGTAAACTATGCTCTGCAGATACGCGTGCCCACTTTGCTCAAAATCTGTATGCGACATGTCAAAGGTGTGGGAGAAATTTGACGTGGAGATCGCTGCTACACCAATGCCAGAACCATACCAGAACAGAATGGTTAGTCTGAATTTACTCCTTCACCTCATGCTGAATTAAGTAAGTAAAGAAAAAAAAATCAATAGCAATCTTTTGATGGAATACGAAACAGGTTCAGATCCTGTGCAACGACTGTGGGAAAAAATCGGAGGTGCAGTACCATGTGGTGGCTCAGAAATGCCCAAGCTGCAAGTCATACAATACTCGCCAAACCCGAGGCTGAAGCAGAGTTTTTTTTGGAAACATGAAGTTTTCAAGTTGGCTTTTTGCTATCAGATGCATTTAAAAGCGATTCTATTAAGCCAATGTGGCATTTGGCTCCTTCACTTTTGAGGGCTCATCTCTCGACTCTCAAATCTTTTCTCTCTCGTTTTCAATGTTATCCGGTTGATGTTTTGTTAGCTGGTATTCTGTAATAAGCCTTGGTTGTGTTCCATTACAATATGTTGTCTACTTTGTCCTAACTCTCGAGTTATCTGTTATTGAATAGTTTCTGAAATAAAAACTGTTCAAGTATATATATATATATATATACAAAAGAAAAAACTTGTATGCATGCAAAATACATTGACTGATAAAATTTCAAGATGCTTTTTAATTGTTTAGACAATAGCAACAATTTGAACTCTTTTCTTTACACATTACATACTGTAGTATAAATAAAATTATAGTTAAATTTTAAAAACAACAACATTGACTAGATATAACACATATAAAATTATAGTATAATTAAAATAATATAATATTATTAATATAAATGATGCAATTATAAATTAATTTAAAATTAAAACTAAATAGTAATCAATTATTATCACATATTTATTTTAAAAATATTTATATCCGTATATGAGCACGGAAAAATCACCTAGTTGCAAAAGTGATGTTTTCACTATTTTAGATAAAAAAAAAATATCATTTGAAATATGTGACTAGTTACAAAATACTGCACTTCTTTGGTTGAACTAATCTATATTATTAAAATTAAAATACCTTTTTGATATTTTGTTTTATTTATAGATTTAATCACTGCATTTAGAATAAATTAAATGATAAGCTTTTGGTATTTTTTTTATTTACAGATTATTCCACTACTTTTAAAACTAACTAAAACATAATTTTCCTAAAATCAAAACATATTAACAAATGAAAATAAATATTAACCAACTCTTACAATGTTAGTTCTTCTGTAAATATTATATATATATGCATGAAATTTAGAATATTATCATTATATTAATTTATGTATTTTGGAATTAGATACTTTAGTTAATTTTTAATTCAGATTAAGCACAATATATCTTAATTTATACATAATTTTCCTAAAATATATTTACATATCTAAGATAACACCCACTATATGCAAATAAGTAATTAATTAAAAATGAATATATTTTAAAAATATTACAGTTGAATTTAGAGATGCAATTCAGTTTATCCAAATGATAACTAAATCAACCTTAAAAACAACAAAATCGACTAGATATAACATATATAAAATTATAGTATAATTAAAGTAATATAATATTATTAATATAAATGATGCAATTATAAATTAATTTAAAATTAAATTGTAATCAATTATTATCATATATTTACTTTAAAAATATTTATACCCGTGTATGAGCACGGGAAAATCACCAAGTTGCAAAAGTGATGTTCTCACTATTTTAGATAAAAATTAATATCATCTGAAATTTGTGTCTAGTTACAAAATACTGCACTTCTTTGGTTGAACTAATCTATATTATTAAAATTAAAGTATCTTTTTGATATTTTTTTTATTTATATATTTAATCACTGCATTTAGAATAAATTAAATGATAAACTTTTGGTACTTTTTTTATTTACAGATTATTCCACTACTTTTAAAACTAACTAAAAACATATCTTTGCTAAAATCAATCTTAATTATTTTGACAGATCACACCAATGTATATATTTCCTAAAATCAACAAAATTAATTTGAAATCATAAATTCTCACGTATAATTATATGGAAATAGTTGTTAATAAATTTATTGACCATATCAAATATCTAGAAAAAATAATAAAATTTCGAAAATTAATACATATCAAATAATTATATATTATATAAATTTATGTTAGTATTAAAATAAAAATCTAATAAGGATGATAAAAATAAATTAGTAAAAGTTTAATTTTGATCAATACCACTGGAAACTAACCAATCCTAATTTTAGGAATTAATTATCATTTCTCAATTTATATATTTATACAAAATATTCCTTCAAATATAAAAAAAATATTACTTTTATATATGGACAGCATTAATATTTTTTTTATACTTCATTAATTTTACCCGAAATTAATTGTATATATAAATAATAATATATACAATTAATATGAAATGATTTTATCATTTCATAAATATTAAAAATATCAATTTTCATGTCTAAAGTCCAATAATTTTATATATAATAACTATTTTCAAAATTTTAAATATTATGTACATGAATAATAGAAAATCTATATGAAACAAATAAAACTTCAAATACTTTATTTATTGTATTATTGTATTTTATATGCAAGAAAAATACATTCAATACGAATCAATATTCAATACTACATATAATAGTATATAAGAAGAAACAAAACAACAAAACTTCTTTTTGTTGACATCAGACGATTATTATATTACTCAAATTTGAGGTGGTCTGAAAAACATACCAGAATAGAATAACCATTAAAAAAAGAGAGAATTTTTTAGTTTCAAGCCGATGACCGGAGGCTTATATAGCTCCGACATCGGCTTGTTTAATTCTTCTTATTTCTATTTCTTTGATCTGTTTTTTTTATGGTCATCTAGTTTGTTTGATTGCTAATTTATTTTGAATTTGGCAAAATTTTGGATTGTTCTTTTGTATGGTTTTTCCAAGGGATTTGAAATGGAAAAAACCTTCGGTTCAATTGAATCGTTTAGAATAGGTAATTGACAGATCTACTGCGGATGGTGGCGACGGGTCTTACCGGCTTCAATCGTTGATAGTTCTTCACTTGATGGTGATGGATTTTTTTGTTGTAAAGTATAATTACTTCGAAAGACATCATGAAATTATATGGAACGGTAATCTCTTTGGCTATATTATTATCAATAGAGCAATATAAAGAGTTGTCTTCTCTCGTTGGCTTCTACTGGAGTAATAAAAAGAGAGTAGCAATTGTACTCAACTATGTCTGAAGCATGGTGTTTCTGGATTAATATGAAGATTATCTCTTCTGAGATTCAACTATTTCAGAAGCAAATATGAAGCTTTCACATGAAATTTTTTAGTCATCCATACGCTAATAGATGTGTTAGTTTACTTTGGATCCCTACTGGTGTATCCTTTTTCTATATTGTTTTTTGCCAATTCTCATTGTGTAAAACTATTTGTCTAAATGGCTTAATAATACAATCCAACGTTAAAAAAAAGAGTTATAAAGTTGCTGGTATACGCCTAAAAAAAGAATAACCATTAGAAATAATATTCACTATAAATAATAAGTCAATGTTAATATTATGATATTTATGTACGGCAAATATATATATATATATGTATGTTTTAAAAAATTAAAATAAACACTCGTACGCAGTGTTTTTAAACCCGACCCGAACCCGCGGTTGAACCGGTAAACCCAGTGATCCAGAATAAATCCGGTTTGGGTTTTGTGAAAAACCCAAGATTTAAAAACCCGCTAAAACCCGCAAAACTCCACTAAAACCCGAAACCCGGTACCGGTTAAACCGCCGGTTGAACCATTAGATAAATTTTACTCTTTTTAAAAAAGTTTTAAATTAGGTTTTTAACTTTTAACTTTTTAGTTTTTTATTCTAAATTTCGAATTAAAAGTTAGGTTTCTTTAGTTTTATTGCCGTCTTTTTTGTTATAGATTTTGGATTTTTTTTTTTGGATTTGAAGTTTAATTTTATTATTAAAATTAGACATATAAATATTACAGTGACAAAAAAGACATAAAAATATTTATGAATTTTAAGTCTTGATCTTTTTTGTTAGATGTCAAAAATCTTAACTTGTTACAATTGTTAAAAATAATCTAAACTAATTTTAATATTTTTTTATGTCAAATAAAAATATATTAACTAAAATTAAATATTTTCTAAATGTTTTTGAACATAAAATATATACATATTCAAACAATTATTTTTGGTTTAAAAATAGAAAATAATTATTTTTAGTTTATATATTTAATTTTATAAGTAATATAATATAATATTATAAATCTAATTTATTTATTAACCCGCTGTTCACCCACGGTCGGTCCAATGACCCGGTGACCCGGACAATCATCCGGTTCAGTGTCCGGGTCGGTTTTCAAAACACTGCTCGTACGGGTGTGCGAGTTAAAATCTAATTTTATTTAATACTACTTTTATATTACCAAAAGAAATTATATAAAAGAATATTTTTTAATTAAATATTAATTACTAAAATGAATTAGACGGAGTATATATTCTTGCAAACAACAATAATAAAGCAGACAACAACTATGTAAACTGAAAACATATAAAGATGCCTTCATTCTTTAATTATATGGAAGGAAACGATTACTATATGTCTTAATGTATATGTATATGTATATTCATAATGAAATTATCCCAAAAGATAGATTGATTCAAAACGTTATTACATAACCCCCCACAATATATAAAGCCCATCTATTAGCTGAACCAAACAACATGGGTCTCAGGGAGGAAATGACAGACCGGAACTGTACCAGGCTTCACCTTAAGCACTTTGAAGGCCAAGTGGTTTGGGTTCCAAGCCGATGTGTTCTTGTGGCATACAGCAACGGCTTTAGCCCTCAAACCACTCTCTCCTTCGAGCGGAACCGCATAAACGCTTGTCATCATCGCCTTGTGGCAGTAAAACACCGCAAATGGGTACTTCTGTTTGTGACACACCACTGACTTGTCGTCCGACAACTCCTTTATTCCGTCTGCTGCGATTTTGTACTTTTGCATCGGTGCATTCTTCTCAGCCACCTGTAGTAACCAATGGTTACATCAATCAACCAGTATGTTAAGCATGGACATTATAAACAAAATGAAACAAAACTTTTCTTCATTAATTAATATTACAACCAAGGAAACCGAAGCTAAAACCCACTTTAACTAATTTGAGTACGTTTAAAACCAAATCTAACCACTGACGTATAATACCAAAGTAAAATAGATGTATAACATGTTGCATGAAGGAGTCATTAGCTGAAATCGAACTGAATCAGAGTATATACAACCCAAAACTCATCAAGTGTAACCAAACCTAATCATAAATATTTATTTTAGTTTAAATTTTATTTGTTTTTAGTTAAATCTAAACCTAATCCTAAATTGTAAACCAAACCGGATCTGGAACTTAACGGGACATAAGCATTTTTGACAATTTGGAAATCATACACGTTAAATATAATTAGTTCTTTAAAATTTGGAGATTAAGATCAATGTTTCATCCGGCTTATTCCAGTTATGTCTAGAACCGGTAATGACGTAAAACAAAAGAGAAAGTTTATATTACCTCAGTGGAAACAGCAAGGACGTGATATTTGCCAAGTTTAGAAACGCTAAAATCAACCATAGACTCCAAAGAAGTCGCACAATACTTCTCCTCACCACCTACTCTCTTCACTTCACACTCCTCTATCGTTTTCTTCATCATCTCCGCTTCCTCCGAACCTTGTTTCACCGAGAAAGTATTCAAGATCTCCGAAAACTTCCCCGACTCAAACGGCACCGTCTCCGCCACCCCACGTGGCAAAAGCACCGTTTTACCGTCATAACCATCCTCCGCATTAAACCTAAGGTTCATAGCTTTTCCAGGAACCATATCCTTCTCCAAGAAGAAGAGAGTCGCTTTGGGATCGTCGTGGAGCTGAGTCTCGCTCGCTGCGTAGTTATACACAAAAGGGTTTGGTCCTGGTGTTACACCGACGTAGACAGGCTTGCCGTTGTGGCGCGTGTGCACTATAACGCCGCCTTTACCTACTCCCACGTCGGTTCTCTCTCCGGGTTTACCGGTTTGGACGCCTACGCCTCCTCCGGGTCCTTTTCCACCGCTAACGCTCACGTGTGTTCCTTTGCCTTTGCTGGTGTCCACGTACACTCCTCCTTTTCCAACGTTCACGGCGGTTCCTCCGCTGGGTTTACCTTTTCCTGTTGGATATTCGGGTTGTAACCCAGAAATTTGTGAATTATATACTTGGATAATGATTGAATCGCGCACGAGGTCACTTTCCTTAAAGAGTATTTCGACCCTATTCCTAGCCTTTGGGTTACACGAAATCCCTTTGTAGGATAAGACAATCAAAGTCACATTCTTGTTCTAGGCTAAGATACAAAAATAACAAATAGAGTTTCAATGCTTATATGTGTTTCTTCAAAGATCTTTGATGATCTTTGAATAATAAATCTATTTCTCTCTTACTCTCTTACTAACTATTAGTTTCTGATTTTTTCTCTGTCTCTTTTGCCAATGTCTACATCTCTTTATATAGAGAGTGAAAGGTTGCAACCAATGGTTGCAATGGTTAATCCAAAAGATGCAATGGTTAGTACTAATAGTTGCAATGGTTAATGAAGAGTTGCAATTGTTAATACCAACAATTATAATGGTTAGTAAATAGTTACAATGGTTAATCATCAAGGGTTGCAATCACTAATATGGTTAATCATCAAAGGTTGCAAATATTAATATGGTTATCACCAAAGGTTGCAATCATTAATATGGTTATTACCAAAGGTTGTAATCATCAATAGTTGCAAGCTTTTATTCATGTAGTTGCAATTATTCTCATAAACAATTGCAATGGTTCCTTGCACCCTTTCACTTAAACCATTTCACTTAAACCCTTTCACTTAAATATATAACAATCCTCCCCTATTTAAGTGAAATAATAGATTTATTAAATAAATAATACATATATCAAACTCATGCATAAATGAAAATGTTCGAAGAATTGAATTTTCATCTTAGTGTAATACGCATTCCAAATGCCCGAGAATCAGGATGTCCTACGGATTGAATCCCTCAACCCATTTTGAGCACATGAAGATAATACACACACGTGTTTCCACACTACTCTAAGTGTTTACTCGACACTATTATAAGCCATGTGTCCCAATCCATTCATGAATGTATACAAAGCCAAGTCCCAGCTTATTGAAGCGGCATCACTTCACAT